TCATTCTCCCCCTGTACTTGGCCTTAGTGAGGCCGCAGCTGGAGTACTGTGTCCAGTTTTGGGCTCCACAATTCAAAAAGGATGTGGAGAAGCTTGAGAGAGTCCAGAGAAGAGCCACGCGCATGATCAGAGGTCAGGGAAGCAGACCCTACGATGACAGGCTGAGAGCCCTGGGGCTCTTTAGCCTGGAAAAGCGCAGGCTCAGGGGTGATCTGATGGCCACCTACAAGTTTATCAGGGGTGACCACCAGCATCTGGGGGAACGTTTGTTCACCAGAGCGCCCCAAGGGATGACGAGGTCGAATGGTCACAAACTACTTCAAGATCGTTTCAGGCTGGACATAAGGAAGAATTTCTTTACTGTCCGAGCCCCCAAGGTCTGGAACAGCCTGCCACCGGAGGTGATTCAAGCGCCTTCATTGAACACCTTCAAGATGAAACTGGATGCTTATCTTGCTGGGATCCTATGACCCCAGCTGACTTCCTGCCCTTTGGGCGGGGGGCTGGACTCAATGATCTTCCGAGGTCCCTTCCAGCCCTGATGTCTATGAAATCTATGAAAATCATATCCAGCTAATCTAATGTCCTTCTTTGACAGGTTTTCTGGCCTAATAAGGCAGGATAACAGTAAATATGTTTTATCTTGACTTTAGGATAAGGATACACTGTCCCACCAACATTTTCTTAATTGAAATTGGGAAATATGGTCTAAGTAAGCTCACTACAATGTGGGATACAGCACAACTAACTAAAAACATATGTCTAAAATGGACTTTAATGGTTTTCTGTCAAAATGGGAGAACATTTTAAGTAGGATCCAGCAAGTGGGTTCTGTCTCAGGTTCAGTTCTAGCCAGTATTTTCATTCGCAAGTTGGATGGTAGGCTAGAGAGTTAGAAGGGTCTGCAAGCACTTTAAAGGACAGAACTGAAATTGATAAATTGGGGAGATTGTCAAAAATCAACAAAATGTAATTCAATAACAAGTGGAATATGTGCTTAGAAAGGAGAAATCAGGTGCATAATACAAAAATGGGCAATAAGTGGTGAGGTAACCGGTGTGCAGAAAAGAATCCGAGGGTTTTAGTGGATCCCAAACTCAGAATGAATCAACAAGGTGACAATATGCCTTGTCTTCATCAAAACAAACTTATAATAAGTTCTGGTGGAAATGTTATGAAAAATATAGTTATTCCTGAACCACTTTCTACAAATCACACTCATTCATCAAGACTTCCCATCTCCACCCAGTGTACACAGCAATTTACCTTCAATTATTTCATCAGCTGAATTAAATCCTCTCTCAATGTTTCCTTTTTCTACTTTTTTTTCTTTTCCAATGTATGAATTGTGCCTTATTGCATCCTGCAGCAAGTAAAAAAGCCCATACAAGTCAACTGTAATACTGCATACTGTCTAGTGCTTTTCTTTTGTACAATCATTATTATCCATACAACCTCCTAGTCCTCCTCCTTGAGTGATTAGTCAGATATTAGAATCAGTGAGATAATCTTTGCAGGGTACAAACTTATTATCGTTGGTTGTTTTTTCTCTGTTTTACATTACCCTTTGCTTCCCCCCAGATTAGGAGCAGTAGCATGTGTCTCTATATGCAACATTCAAGGCTGCTGAAAATATTTCAGAGATGGATACTGCTGGATTCTGATAACCAACCAGAAGAGAACATTGGTGAAGCATGGATGCATGATGCATGGTGCCAGATCCTCAGCTAGTGTAATCTAATCTATTTCCTTACTTTGATGGAGCTACACTGATTTAGAGCAGTTGAGACGCTGGCCCGTGGAAGGATGGAACTGTGGAGTAAACATTTTTTGATATATTCCTTTACTGCGTTTTCTAGCCCTGATGTGCAAAGATCAGCCTCTGACTCAATAGACAAAAGGTGATGCCCTAAACAAAGGTATACATGCTTTCAATAAATGAAAGATATTTCTATACCGTGCAGTATAAGAAGGAACAAACTCATAGCTTCTTCAAATGAAAAAGCACCCGGTAGAGTCCTTCACACCTGGATAAGTAAATGAAAAGATTAACTCCTTCACAAGACATGGTAGAGAAGATGAATTCTTACCTCAATGGTCAGAATTGGCTCCAGTTCTTCATACTGTATCTTCACTTTTTCAGCCCCTCTTTTTGCCTGAATATCTGACTCTGCAACTACAGCGCAGATAATCTGACCCACACAAATCACCTGCAACACACCCAACACATAGCACCTGGTGAACACACTGGGCTGATTATATTTTGTGCAGTGAGCATATCTTGGGGAGAGGGGGTCATGTCCAGACATTGCATACACTACGCTACACTACACTCCACTCCACTCCTTCAGGAATTTGTCCAAGTGCAAGCTAAATTTTTTTAGATGGGATGTGCTGTTGGCATCTATTGTCTTTCCCTTACAGCACCTTGAGCACTAAAAATGCCACTGATGTCTATATGGCCTTGACTCGAGCAGGAATCTTCCCCAATTCCATTCACTGGTGGGCAGCTTACCCTGATATGAGCAAATGTACAACCTCCACCAGTGCAAATCACTTTTCTGGTCTGTACTAGGGGTTTGTACTCATGCAGCTCCATCAAGGTTGGACTACTGATAACTGCAATCAGATCAAGCTCATAAAGCAGACACAGTCCCGTGCTTCGGAGGGAGGGAGAACTGAGGTGCATCAAGCTGGTGACTAGAGGAAAAGATGATGTGAGGGGGTGATAGAGAGGGATGAGGACACAACAGCAAGGAAGAGGGAAAGGAAAAGAGGTCAGAGTTGACTGGAAAGAAACAGAAATGCAGCTGAGAAGAAATTGAAAACATAAAAGGAGGCAACACAAGACATCCTGAAGACAAATAAGTTCTATCTAAATATTACTCAATGGTGGAGACAGACCCAGGCCAGAGGAATTCTGCACTGGGGATGCTGGCCACAGGCAGGCCAGACACTTGGCTCTTCAGCTAGCAAACTAGGGAACACAGCTTGTGCTGTAGTGTGTTCCCGCATGGGATATGTTCAAGGTCTGCCCGGGCTTTACAGTCAATTTAATTTTATTTTTGAAGAGCATGGATCTTCCTTATTTTATTTCTTTCTCACCTGCATATGTCTCATTCCACAGCCATTCTCCATTTTTCACGGAGGCTTTGCTGTGGTAGTCACAACCACTATTCACTGAATCAGTTATAAAAGGGTGCTGCAGAATGCCTAAAAGCATCCTTCCCTGGCCTTATGCCCCACACATTGGAAGTCCTGTACAGGCCCTGCCTGGCTCCTGTTGGACTAAAGTCTACTGAATTCATTTTCAGAGCAGTTTCATAGTCAGCAAACCACTTGCAAAATGGGTAAACTTCCTTCTTCATAACAAACCAGAGTTATTTCAAACCGGATCTTAGCTGGAAGCAATAAGTACCTCTTCTCCTGCAAATGCTTTCTCATTTTTAGTGCCATTTTCCCCTGGAACATCGCTAGCTGTTACCACATCAACCACTCCTGGCACTTTGAAGGCCTCTGATGCATCAATTGATCTGGAAAGAAGAATATGAGTTGCAGTGCCACCGGGGGTGTTTATGGGAGTGCACTAGTGTACTCCAATACAAGTGGTTCCAAAGGCAGAAAAAAACCAGTCCTTTTTTGTATTGCCACCAAACTGCTTCATATTGGGAGATGCATGGAAACATATTGTGGAAAAATTATCAACTGCTGTTATGAAGTATTTTAAAGAGGGTACAGGGAGAGGAATAGGTCAGGGGAGGGGAGAAAGTCAAGGACTGGCATAAAATAGCTCTGAAAAATTCTAGTCACTGTATATTAATGTTTCTAAATTCTCAGTATCTCAGTATATACTTTCTCCATTCCCCTTGTGTGTTAATGGCTCCATTCATTCAGAACAGACTCTCCCAGAGGAAGATGCACTAGGGCACTTGCACCCCACTTCCTGATTCCTGTTCCACCTCAAGTTTAAAACCAGCTGCCTGGCAGTGGCAGCAACTTGTACAGTGTCACAGTGCTGAGGGAATCACTTGACTTAATGGTTCGTTATAATCTACCTGATTCCATCTAACCTCTTCATTCCACAGGTGTTAATGACCCTCTTTCTTTTTTAATGGTGTTGAAGTTCCACCAATCAAGCTATCCCTTGTTCTGCAATTCTGCTGCCTGTTAGCTGTTCCTGGAAATGAAGCTCCCATTTCACAGCCTTGCAGACTGTTTTTCACTCATTCCAGTAAAGTTGTATCAGTTTTTGCATCAATCTCAAACTGAATAATTCAGCCCTAAGCCCCAAGCATATTAGTAAAGCTTCTGGTTTATTTTTAACTGGAGAAAAATATGTGTTGGTTTATATGTGAATATGCACCTCACCATCTGCGCCCCTCTTTTCAAAATTCTAGATCCACCCTTGGACTTCCCTGATGTATCTGCCAACACCTGACACACTTGCCAAAGAAATCCTTATCTCATGATGTTAGTCAGCCCAAGGGATGGTAGCAGAACAGTCCTTATGTGCTTGTGTTTGTGTATAGCTTACAATAGAAATGCTCAGGGTTAAGACACATTTTTCTGCTTTTGTGCAGTGCCAAGCCAAAGTGCCCCCTCATCCTGCAGTGTATATATTACACAGCATTAATAATAGAAAGTTCTGAAATGCGGCTCCACATTACCAGTAGGTAATTATTTCATAATGCAAGCAAGCCAATACATTTACCAGCCCTGGAGGGAAACATTCTGGAAAATCAGGAGGTGATCAACACTTGACTGAGGAGCTGAAAGGAGAAGCATCTACAAGTACCTGTCACTAAGTATATGTTTTTCTGCTTTACATAATATTACCCAAGTTTAAAAGAATTAGCAGCTAATCCTCCCCAGTTTGTGCATGAATTGCTTTTTCAGGCACCTCTTTGTTCCTGGATTTCTTCTGTACCCTGCTGTACTTCAGGTCTGGCTCAGTAAAACCAATGAATACATTCAATTAGAAAGACCTGAATCTGTTATGACTTCTACTGGGACCCTTTTGTTGCAGCTTTCATTTACTTACACAATCTTTGCATGCGCTTTTGAACTTTTGACCACGGCCAAAGAGAGCTCTCCGTCTACAGGATGCATGTCATCACAGTAGACAGCTTCACCTGTGGCATGTTTAACTCCAGACTGGTGCATGATAGGATGTCCCACTGGATCCTGGGGTGGCTGTCCTGGATCTACATCCTGTTTAAGAAAAACATGTTATTCTAGAGTCACAACACTAACTACAGAAAGCCTCTTTTACTAATACCTTCTGAACTCATTTGGCCAGTGCTAGAGCATGTCCTTAAACCCATGCGGAAACCACTTAGATTTTGGGGCTTGATCATAAATAGATATTGACTCAAAACCAACGTTCCAAGTAGTAATTTCACTTCTATTGTTTGTATTTAGGGTTGGCAAGATTCGATTTTTATTAGTAAATGTTGATAAACATTGATTTTGCATCACAGACTGACAAAGAAATATTTTCACTGTTAATAATCAAAATTTATAGAAAGGGGATGTAAGAAATTTGATGACTGATGGAGTGTGTGATGACAGGGAGAGCAGTCTTACAGAACCATGCTGACTGTAGGCTGTATTGCAACTCCCAGAAACCCCAGGAGACTGGGAACAAAGGATGAGGAAGTGACAAGTAGATGAGCATCGCTGAGGCTGATGGCAGCTCCACTGCTTAGCTGGCAGGAGTCCTACAGTAGTTATTAGGGCTGTCAATTAAGTGCAGTTAACGTGTGTGATTTACGTGTTAATCAATTCTTGAGTTAATTTTTTTAAATGCATTAATTGCGCACGTGGTTTTGAAGCCCATGCCCAGGCTCCACTCCGTTGCCTCCAGGCCACCCAGCAGGGCAGCAGTGGCAGCACAGAAGACCGCAGGGCAGTGTGGGCAGCTGCAGCCGTGGGGTGGGGTGGGGGTGCACAGACACACATGAGCAGCCACAACCTGCACATTGTGTGTAAAGCAGTGCTGCATTGCAAAGTCTATGGAGTGTTAGGGTCGGGGGCAGACCAAGGGCCCCATGGTGAGGGAGGGAGTGGGGCAGAGGCAGGGGCAGGTGCTGGAGTGAATAGGGGTTTGGGGCTGGGGCAGGTCATGGGACTGAGCTGTGGAAGGTTCATCCAGAGGTGCAGGAAGTGAGGCATGGCTTCCTGCTGCTGTGTGCACCACTGGAGGAAGCATGGGGGGCATGCGCCCCCCTGGATTTGTGCATGGGGCAGAGGTTTGCTGGCTGCTGGAGGCTGGGACTCTGAGCCCTGCTGCCTTTGCCTGGGGAGCTGTGTGCTGGCTGTGCCATGTGTCCCCTGTTCGCCTGGTGGTGGGAGGCATAACATGGCATTGTGCATCTCCCAGGGCAAAAGCAGCAGGGCGCAGAGCCCCAGGCCACAGTGGGCAGCCCATCTCCACCCCATGCACAAATCCGGTGGGAACATGCCCTCCATGCCTCTCCCGGGGCTGTATGCAGTGGCAGGGAGCCACCCCCACGCATCCCTGGACAAGCTGCTCACAGCTCCATCCCACAACCTGCCCTGGCCCTGGGTCCCATTCACCCTAGCGCCTGTACCTGCCCCAGTCTCTCCCTCACCATGGGGGGGGGCCTCAATCTGCCCCCCTGCCCCTTACGTTTCCCCACCCTCTCCCCTCCACAGACTTACTGGCATGGTGCTGCCTGTGTGTGCTTACCCCTCACTCCCAAGCCATACCACCCCCCAGCCATACAAAGTACCTGCATAATTTTGAGTATTTCTGCACATAATTTTGATTTTTTATCTGTGCATTTAAAATTGCAATTAATTGCAATTAATTTTTTTAATTGCACAAGTAATCATGATCAAGTCTTTAAATCATTTGACAGCCCTAGTAGCTATGTTTGTCAGAGCTGTTAAACTGCACTATAATAATAGTATATTGTCCTTAATAAATTCTGTCCCCCATACCGCTAATTTTAAGCAATCCTGAAAAAAAAAAAAAAAAAATCAATAAAACTGAAATAAATTCTTAAAAAATAAACATCAATATTATTTATTGAAATTATTAGAAAATAAAAATCAAATTCTGCCAAGCCTATTTGTATTACACTGTCACTTTAGGGCTCCAGCTGAGATCTCATCTCCAAAGTGCTAGGCACTTTTCATAGGCAGCTCTTTCTCTGAAGAGACTGTAATTTAAATAGACAAGACCAGGAATAGCACAGGATAGATAAAGGGGGTATCTATCCTGCTTCTGAAGCACTCCTGAGAGTGCTACTGAGCAGCATGCCATCAGTTAGCTCTTCCCTCTCCTCAAATGCCAAATTTACAAAGGAGATAGTGAAGCTGCTCACCCACTCCCTCTTGACTTCTATATCTCCAGTGGTCTTAAGAGGGACTTTGGAGGTGCTCTGAGGACTGCTTCATTGCCCTATTTCTGGGTTTGTTCTTGGCATCACTCTCAGGAGCCATGGGATCAGCACGGATATGCCTAAAATGGCTTGTCCAAATCCACAGAGCATGCTGATGGATAAATTGGAAATAGAGCAAAAGTCTTCTTTGTTCTCCCTGCCCAGTTCCCTAGCGAATAGAGTGCGTTTCCTTTTGTACCATCCATCTTGAAGTAGATTTTGTACAAATTTGATATCACATCTTGTTTCAACAACCTAAAATTGAGCTATGTTTTATTCATAGTTTATATAAAGAAGGCATCTGAAACTAGAGCTGATTGCTCTACTCCAGCCCAGTGTATCTTCATGAAGGACGCTGGCAAATACATATTTTGGCTTGTACAGGCTGGCCTACTGAAAATGTTCTCATCCAGGTTTCTGCTAAGTGGATGTCTGTCAATATTCTTTTTTCCCATTTCAAATAGAACCATAAATTAGTTGCACTACCAATGTGCTTAGTTGGAAAAAAGCTTGGGTGCCCTCTGCTGTTCCCACTCACACTACACTTCATATTTGCTTCAAACAACTCTATATCAGGTTCTCTCTACAGAAAACTGTATTTTTACTAAATAAAAATTGTCTTGGAAATAATCTGTTTTCCTAAAATAGTATTCAACATCTATTTTAAAAAACACAAACTAAATGTTTTCTGACATTTCTGCATTGCTGAAAAATGCTGAAATTTTCAGCTATTAAGAGTTTTCAGTCTGCCTAAAAACACGGGATATTCTGGTAATTTTTTTGTGAGAATAAAACATTTTTTTTTGTTGAAATTGACTTCTGAAAAGTATATTTCCAACAAGTGCACATTTGAGTTTATAGTTTTTGACAGAGAAAACTTTTACCTGAGGAAAGATAGAGATACACTACAGTAAATGGACATTCAGGATGAAAAACCAGAGGGCATAACAGTCATTAAGAAAGACAGCATGTGGCAGCTGAAATTCATGCCTGGCATAGTTTGCTATGAAAACAGTGTCACTGACCTGGTATACTTGTCTTCCCTGGGGAGGTCTGCATTCAAAGTTTCTGAGGGCACTCATGTATTTCTTCGGCAGGTCAGGATACTTTGATGGGTCCTGAAAGGAAGGCAATTGTATGATACTGATGTCAGATAAGTATTTTTAAAGCTAAGATTTCCATTTTCCAGTTATGAAAAAAATGAACGTTAAAAAAGTAGAGATCTCCCATTTGCTCCCCCAGCTTGGACACCAGCTCTTCAATGAAATATCTCTGAGTTGGAACGGCATTCTGCACCTGACAGCAACAACCACCCTATTCCGCTACACTTTTCCTTGCCATGTAAGCACCTTTTAAAGTGATGGGAGAGTTATGCAAATAACAGATAATGCTTAAAGGACCATGGGTGACCCAGGATCAAAGACACAACCCATTGCCATCAAAAATCCAGGCTGTTCAAATGTTAGCGTTCAAGATAGGGATTAAGGGATGTAGGTGAAGAGAATGACATGGTTAGGACTGAATTAGGAAAACAGGCAAAGAAACACTGACCATGTCCAACGGCATTCACATTTCAGGTTCAAATGAAATCTTATGGGCTTACATTTGACTTATCTTCCGAGCTTTTGAACTCCTGAATATTTTGTTGCACCCTGCTGCATCATTGGTCTGGGTCCTTCTCTAAACTACCTTCTAAGGGTTTGATGTGGCTGTATGAGCTGCCCCCATACCCACCAATTTCAGACCATTTCACCATGTTATGTTTATACTCTCTGGGTGCATCTACACATGACTTGGACTGTGCAGTTATTACTGTGCAGTCATTTAGTACTTGCTTAACTGCTGTTACTGCACAGTCCCGGCACTACATAGGTTGTTTTTGATGCTACTATGCAGTAGCTCATCTGTCTGTTAGTTTAGGGTTTTATATTGCTGCCTGTCACCACAGAACCTGAGTTCTCACTCCACAAAATCACCAGCAATAACAGTCCTTAGTGAAGTTCACAGGGCCTTTGGCATTTCTCCCTTTTCAGAGTCATGGTACACATTTTATTTAAAGTTTTAACCTAGATCTTATCTATTTTTGGTGAGGTTCATAGGGATTTATTGGTGGAGCTGTCAGAGTCATGGCATCTATAAATACATGGCTGTAACACTGATGGTTAAATGTATTCTGGGGCAACAGAAGAACTGTTCTGATTCTGAAACCATATTAAGCTTTAACTATACAATAACATGGTTTGCTACAGAAGACAGGTAACAGCACAATCACCACTTAGTAAGGGACTGACCTACCCAGGTAGCCAGGTAATCTGCATCAATTAGCATGGTATCTGAACCCGTATAGTAAGGTTTTTTGGAAAAATATTTTATTGGACCAAATGTTTAGTTGGGAGATATATTAGATAAGTTTTCAGGCACAAAGTGCCCTTTTTGAGGTCCAATCCCACATATAAAAAGTCAGTTCACCAATCTCCCTGAGGAAATCACTTACCATCATCTTTAAACCATGCAACACTTCCAGGTAGAATTTGAAAAGGAAGCTGACAAGCAGAGTTCTTCTGTATTCCACCTTCCCACCTGGAGCTGAGGGGGAGAGAAAAATTTCGCCAAGCACCAGTCTGCAAGCTTCACCCAGCATCTGCTCATTCCATTGCCTGGGAGATAAACAGACACGTATGCATGTGCAGAGATAAGCAAGCATGTTAAGAAAAGTTTAATTCGTACGGGCCTGATGTTGTTGCCCTTTTGGATTTGGTAGAAACTACATGCCTGTGAAGACTGTAACAGTTAACTTGTTAACTGAGTGACGAAATTTGCTGCCAGCTAATAGGCTCATGTTACTAGTCTGTTACGAATGAAGATGGTTGACATTTTTATTCCAACCATTCCAACATGTATCCCAATGAAATCTGGCCAGCACAGACAGTCTTTCTTCACTGGGAAAAGCAAACAGTGCTTTTACCGGCATCCTGCTTGGTTGATCCACCAGGAAAGGAGAACACTATCTTATGTTTGGGGCTCCATAGACCCCCTGGAAGAGAGTGCCAGGCACTAGGCTGTATTAATGCATTCCTGGGCACCTTGGATACTCCCACTACATTGTCATTGGTGCTTACTTTCTGGAGAGGGTTAGCCAGTTGTGAACCATTGCCCCAGTGGAGGTTGTGCAAGAACTGTACAAAGCTGAGTTCTGCATCTGGATCTCCACCATGCCAGATCTGGATATCTGGCAGAGTCTTGGCTTCACAGAGCCTACAGTATTGTATGTCAGAGTTGTACTAAGTCAGTACCTCCTGATGAGCTTCTGGCAGGATTTCTTTGCACTGACTGTGGTAGAGCCAATGCCTCCATAAAGAATGTTCAGGTCCATAATGATATTTGTGCCTGGTTTGAAAAGCACTCTCATTGCAGAATTCACAATCGACAAGGCGTTCTTCCGGCGCTCTGCCTGTCGGAAGGCTGACACAAAGTCATCCTGAGCAAAAGAGAATTTAACAGAGAGAAATTCCATCACTGGCAGATATTAATCCTCTTAAAAGGAAAATAACCCATGACTTTGGGTCTTCATTAGCTCCGCTTGGTGCAAAGAAACAGAAGTTGCTAAACCCATATGGTGACTTAGTTATGTTTCTGTATATCTTTCACATAGTACCAGTGAAGGGCTGACTTGCCCAAGGGAAATGTATCCAAGGCTCACCTACTTATATGTTGACATGCCAAACCACAGCTTTCCCCAGTGGTTTAAGGTGCTGTCAGAAGCACCCCCTCTGAAGTGCTGGGCAAACAGTATTGGCCCAAGTCACTTATAATATGGCTGGTACATTAATGTTACTTAAGTGGCTTCCAGCACTGGAACAGGTTGCAGCATGGTGCCAAAGGACCATGTTAACTGAAGAATTTTTTCAACAAGAAAAGGTTTATATTTCATGCTACACAGCTGGAGAGGAGAGCGGGAGCTGTTGGAAGTAACTGGATATTCCACAGTCAATTCTGATGCCAAAGCCTCGGAAGTGTGGCTTAAAACCATGCCCTTTCCAGAGACAGACAGGTCCAGACTAGAACTCCAGATCTGAAGAATTTTAGAGCTTCTGAAATATGGATCTAAGGTTTAGGTGCTTCATGATCAGTGTATGGGACTCAGACGCAGCCCTCTGAATTTTTCATTTCCACATGATATTTGAAACTCACAGTAGTTGTATTCCCACCCACAAACTAACATCCCTCACTTACTTTGTTTTCTTGGACATATCCTGATCACCTTGCACATACCCAGCTGTGCCCTACATGGTGATTTTCATGAGAATGACCCCAAGAAATAGCTTTGGATCAATTTTTCTATGATGAACGTCCTTCCTATTGTTTCAGATTTTGCACAGGTTAAGCCATATTTCTTCAAACTCCCTGTAACAGGGAACTCTAGCCCTGTTACTAAGAGGCGGGGCTGCCCCTTTAAGACCTGGGGCTACAGGAACCCCAAGCACCAGGAGGGTAGGGGTTAATAACCCAACCACCTGGACTGGCCAGCTGACGGGAAGAAGGCAGGGCCCTGGGCACATATAAACCCCAGGGCTGGGGCTAGAGAATTCATTTTCTGGCAGGAGCCAAGACAGAAGGAGCTCTTATAGAGGAAGCTAACTGGAAATGCCTGACTGCCTGTTCTGCATCTGGTAGGATAAAGGGGCTATAGGAGCTCATAAGTACTGGTGGTGGGGGGTGGCCCAGTAAAGTGAGAGAGAAGCTTGTCTCCTAAAAGGGGTTAGGTTAGGCTTGTAGGACTTCTATTATGTTATAGCTCAGGGGCTCATATTTATGTTATTGTTTGTCTGGTGGACTGGGCTGAGGCTATTTGGGGAGGAGGACGCCTCAGTGGGGCACACTACTGTGCAAAGCCCCAGTGCCAGGCAGGCACAGTGACGGGGGTGATCCAGACCTCAGTGCCAGGGGGGCACAGTACCAGGTGGTGCAGAGACAGGGGGCAGACCCCAGTGCTGGGAGGCACCACAACAGTGAGTGGACCAACCCAATGCCCTAGGGCCTAGGTTGACATTTATACCACCTGCAAGGCATGGGCCACCATGTAGGGGAAGGTTGGAGTGGTGGATAGCAACCCCTAGCATTGGGGTATTAAATAGGCAGCCTCCCACCTAAGTACCATCATAACTATTGTTCCATCAAGGTGTGGCAGGAAAGATAGGTTGGCATATATCCCAGAGACAGAGGGTCAGGCCTCTGTTAGACAGGCATGGGGATGGACCCGTCACACTCCCCAAAGGCATTTATCACATGAGTCAGGCCTACTGGGAGTCCTACTAGTGCCTTGAATGGGCTTTGAAGCTGGTCCTTCAGGCCCCACTGGAATTTTGTGCATACTCACATAAAATGCTAATACTATCTGTCCATGTCTGGGGAGGATCCTGCAAGCCTTCTTTCACAGGAGGAGTCCTTGGGCATGTGGGTAATTGCAAAGGCAGTGTTTGACTCAATGTTTGCAGGGCCTGGCCACAAAGAGCTCTGGTACTGAAGTTCTTACAGTACATATGGATATGATTAAGGTAGTGTAACACTGTGCACATGGATAAAAACAGCCCAGGGAGGAAATTAGAACCTTTACCTTCTTAGAGTATGGGATGAGAACTGACACTATAACCTCGTTTGGCTTAATGTCTGCATTTTCACAACCAGAAAGAAAGTCATCAGTTAAAGGAATCTGCCGTTTTCCATCTGTTGGAAAAAAGTGTAGGTTGTCAGAGAACATGGAGAGAGAAACAATGTCTTTGCTTTGCAGATTCAAAATTAATCCAAACCTGTGAACCAAAACAGACTAGAGATGACCTGCATCAATACCCCAGCATTTCAGGATCTAGGACTGATGCCCACACTGCAGAAGCTTTTCCAGGAATATCAAAATAAAGCTTCCCAAAGAGAAAAAGGAGTCAAATGGGCAATAAATGCTGCTCACAGTGAGCAATTTCATGGGACCTGAAGTCAAAGGAGTGTGAGCTACACAATGTAGGATTGGAAAAGTCCTCAGGGTACACAGACTTGTTGCATTTTCCCTGTCAAGCACCATGCTGCTATAATTCTATGCTAAAGTTCAGTTATGCTGCTATAGTAACACTAACAGTACTGAATAGTAGACACGATGGAGGGAGGGATTGCTGATTTTTTTTTTCTTGCTCCTAAGAGGCAGAGAGATCAATAATGTATGTATTTTTCTAGTTCTCTTCTTGCTCAAAAGCTTTTAGGCAAAAAAAAAAACCCAACACCCCAAAATGAAAACAAGACACAAAAGCAATATAAGCTTGGAGGCAGAATTTATCCACCTTTTTAATACGAAATAATTATTCTGGAACACATTTGATTCAAAACTGCTACTAATTACTGGCATGTGATCAATATGAGAAGTAGGAGCTGATTTTCAAAGTTGTTTTACCTGCTCCCCATCCCAACTCCTCAGTGACTTTGGTGAGAATTGTGGGTACTCGGAGCTTTCTAAGAAAATGGAGCATAGGTTTCTCAAGATGAGTGAGAAACTAGCGTGATAAGCAAGCAATGACAGTGTCTAGGAATCTGCAAGCTAAAGCTAAGCTAGGCTGGCATGTGCAGAACTGTGGGAGGCTGACACCAGATGGCTGCCTTTCTCTTCTCTGCCTCTCCAGCTCACTTTCAAGAGATTGCCAATTTGGTTTCCTACTGCACTATGCAGCAGAAAAAATCATAGCAGCCTGTGTGATAATGTTTTTTTGTCAGTGACAATCATAGGAAAGTACCAGAATCATTTTCTTCTGCATCTGTTGACATGAATCAAACACAGCTCTATCAGTTAGACCCCCACCACCTGTACCAGCGACTGTCATTCTGTGCTGTCATATTGAATGAAATAGTTTGAATGTTTGTAATAGTTGCCCATTAGCCAGTTTAGGAAGAAGACAAGATTTATCTCCTTATCTAGGCCATTGTTTTGGTCTACGTGTAAAAGGTCCTGACTTTGCTCAAAGTCTTAACTCTTGAATTTTATCTTTAGAGGCCTTTAAACAAAGAGAACCTAAAAATGACCCTTAAGCAAATATCCCAAGTTCTGAGACATCAAACCCTAGAGCCTTTAAAAAAAAAAAAAAAAATTGGAAAGAAAAGGTCACTTGCAGTGGTATGGAAGTTCCCCAAAGTAATTAAAATGATCAACAAAAGAAACTAATTACCAAGCAAAAAGAGTGTGTTAAGTAAGATCCGAGCCCAAATTTGGGAGTAATGACAGGTTTGGGTAGGAGGGGCCCAGGACGGCAACTCACTCAATAAAAACTGTAACCTACTCTCCCAAATTGGAGGTAATCTCACTTGCAGAACAACGAAGAAAGAATCGCAAGTGTAGACCGGATCAGACTGATCACCTGAACCACCCTCTCCGTGAACACGAATCTCTTAGTTCACGCTGAAGCCGCGGAGCACCCGAAAGGGACTGAAGGAAGGGGACTTAGTCCTATCACTGCTGAGGCCAGCCCATTGAATTGTATTGCTGAGGCGAGCCCATTGAACCGTACTACTGAGGCCAACCCATTAAATTGTACTACTGAGGAATGAAACCATATTTAGGTGTTTGGCTTCTCAGAATTCTAGGATTGTAAGTATATTATGAAAATAATAGTATCGATTCAAATTTAACTTTTAGTTGTAATTGTA